CTTTTAGAAACAGGCTTCTGTTGACGGGCATGTGACCTCTCCGTCTCCACCGCTCCGCCCGATCGTCTCGGTCGCCCTGACCGCTCCCTTCCCCTCCCCAGGAGCAGGCGGAGCCTGTGAACACCGTGGAGACGCACGTGGAGGAGGCGCAGGTGAACGTGGCCGAGGGCGCGCGTCAGCTGGCGCTGGCCGCCCGGCTCAGCGGGGGCGGGCTCCGGTGGCCGGCGCGCTGATTGGCGGGATCGTGGCCGGCCCGGTGGGCCTGCTGCTCGGCGCCAAGGTCGGAGGCCTGGCCGCCGTCGGCGGCGGCGTGCTCGGTCAGTACTCGTCTCGTGGTTGGTCGTCGATTTATTTTTTTGGCTCGCGGCGGAGCTGTGTGCGAGGCTGTGCCTGGGCTGGTGGCGCTCGGCGATCTACCGAGGCGGCTGTTATCGACTTCCGAAGGGTGCCTAAGGCGTCAGAGCTGATTTACTATAGCTATGCCCTTGTTATAATGGCATCATCTGATGGCACGGGTCACGGTTGTGTAGCATGTCATGCCTGCAGAGTCGGCCTTCTGCCGGCAGGTCACGTGGCCGGACGGTTCGCCCTCTGTCGGCAGGTGACGTGGCTGGACGGTCCGCCTTCTGTCGCCAGGTTACGTGGCCGGACGGTCCGCCCTCTGTCGGCAGGTTACGTGGCTGGACGGTCCGCCCTCTGTCGGCAGGTTACGTGGGCGGTCGGTCCGCCCCTCGTCGGCAGGTTACGTGGCCGGACGGTCCGCACTCTGCCGGCAGGTTACGTGGCGGACGGTCCGCCCCTCTGCCGGCAGGTTACGTGGCCGGACAGTCCGCCCATCTTCGGCAGGTTACGTGGCTGGACGGTCCGCCCTCTGTCGGCAGGTTACGTGGCCGGACTTTCCGCCCTCTGTCAGCAGGTTACGTGGCCGGCGATCCGCCCCCTCTGTCGGCAGGTTACGTGGGCGGTCGGATGGTGAACGCGGGCCGACGCGGCCCGGCGGACGGGGCCACCGCCGAGACGCCGACTCTCCGTCCAGGCCAGTCGGAACGCCTCGTCCCCAAAGCAGGTGCCTTCTCGCGGCTGCGAGCCGCCCTGGCCGACCGCCTGACCGTCTGGCTCGGCAGTGAGTGGCCGGGCCAGCGGTGGAGGACGGGGCGCCGGGGACAGGGGCAAGCACGGGGCGCCGGGGACAGCGGTGGAGGACGAGATGCCGGGCACAGCGGTGGAGGACGGAACGCTGGGGACAGGGGCGAGCACGGTGGCGCCGGGACAGCGGTGGAGGACGGGATGCCGGGCACAGCGGTGGAGGGACGGGACGCCGGGCACAGCAGCGGATTGTGAGGCATGGGGTCGGGCGTGAAGGGCGGAGCAATGCGAACGCGTGAACGCTGGAGGCCATGGGGTCGGCATGGAGGGGCGGAGCATGCGAACGCGGGGAACGCTGGAGGCATGATGTTTGGAGTGAGAGCGTGGCGCGTTGTAATCGACGAAGGGCATGGTTCTCGGCCAGGGCTGGGGGGCAGAGCACAGGCCAGGTGCACATGGCTGAGTCTGCGTCTTCCTGCTCAGTGCTAGTCCTATGCTTCAGGTGTGAGTTACGCATGTCCACGTCAGTGCTAGTCTATGCTTCGGGCTGCCGGTGTCCCGGTTCGGATGAAGTTTATGACCACTCTGAATGTCAGTGCCGGTGTCGCGTGCCCCTCTCCTTCCCCATGGTGCGGGAGCGGGCATATTCAAAGCAGCCGTGGTATGGGTTGCCTCGTAGCACCGCGTGAATGTCCGCGCCTCGAGCTGTGGTGCTGACTTGTCACTTGAAAGGCATGGCTCGGATGGGCAGCCGCGTCACAAATTCGCTGGTTATCAGGATTTAGTTAACGCTGCCTTTTTGTTGGAATAAACCTTTGGTTCTGGTGACGTCGGATATGTCACGAAGTGATGCTACATATTGATAGGTGCGGGCCTTATAATGGCTGAAGTAACTACAATCGCTAAAAAAACTTCAGCTGGGCACTGCAGCTTTGCGCAAAACGAGCTGAGCCTTCGCCGCCCAGTCTGTGAAAGGGGGGATGGGGGCCCTCTGCTGCCCGTCTGCCTGCGTATCGTTCTCTTTTTACGCCCGGTTGGCCATCGGTAGGGGCGCGGTCGTCTCTTCGGCGAGCCGGGTGGAGCCTGACTCGCTCCGGCCCTCTCCGCCGCCAGGGCCCCGTCGGCGGGGCGAGCAAGCCCGTGGACGCCGTGCTGGCGGGCGACGTCGAGCCGGCGGAGGAGGCGGACGAGTCGCTGTGCTGCACGGCGGCCGCCGAGCCGCGGCCGACGCCCCTCTGAGGATGCGCTCGGCCGCCGTCGCCGGTCGTGTGGAGCTGGGTCGGGTTAGCGGAGAGTGCGGGTCGTTGGAAGCTGTGCACTGTTCTGAGGGCGCGGGGTCGTCAGGAGCTGTGCTCTGTCCTGAGGACGCGGTGTCGTCAGGAGCTGTGCTCTGTCCTGAGGGGCGCGGGGTCGTCAGGAGCTGTGCTCTGTCCTGAGGACGCGGGGGTCGTCTGGAGCTGTGCTCTGTCCTGAGGACGAGGGGTCGTCAGCTGTGTACTGCTTGGCCACCAGGGCGTAAGGCCACCGCACGCAGTGCCAGCTCAGTCGGCTGGTATGCTGGCGTGCCTCGAGTACAGCCTTAGCTAACAGCGTCAGGTCACCCTGGCCCGGGTACTGCCGCCAGGCCGATGGCCTATCACCGTGACCTGCCAGCTGATGTGTACCGATATCGCCCTTCACCGCACTGACCTGGTGTATGGCTGTCGTGATCCGTTGGCCCGCGTTAAGGGCGGCGAAGCAACGTGCTGTGATACGAACCCGAACGCATTCTTGCGAAGTCTGGCACGTGCACTGGGTGGGACAATGGCAAGTACGATGGTTGTTGTAGGTGGCGCTGTCATGTGCTGGTGTGTGACGAAGATGGTGCGCGCGGGGCAGAAACGTGCGGTGGTCGGTGCTTGTGAAACGTCTGAGTTGAGACTCGATGATCGTAATCACACGCGGCGGGCGTGTCTTATCCATGCAGTTGGATTCATAACGGAGCTTCCTGTCGCAATGCTTTGTCCGTGGCTTCAATGTTATGATTTCACCATGTGGCTGCTACGGCCCAACCATGGCGTTAATAAGCTTTCAGCGACGTACTCCAATCTAATTTACATGCTGGTTGATGCGTTGGTTGTTCCCCAAGTCAGTGTTTTGTACACATGTATAATCTAGTCCGTGTTGCGTACCATGCCCCAGCTACTGCACGCACGTCTGGTCCTGTTATTGGTGTAACCGGAACAAAGGATTACAGTTCCCACCAGGCCTGCAACTGGTGATGCTGTAACCAGCTATGGCTAACGGAGAGGGGCACCATTATCAGATGAAGGGGAGAAACATAGGTCACAGCGGCTCAAAGCATGTGCTTGGATTCCACACAGTAGAATGTAGGTCTGGATATGCTCGACCGAATGGGCCATGGTGTGTTTGGTGAGGATCTCGCAGCATAAATGGCTCTGCGGTTTGGTCTGCGGGTTATTTCCTCGTGCGTCTTTTTTAATGAGTACCTCCGCTCCCTCTACAGCCGTTGACTACCGATGGATCTGTAAATCGACTGTGTGCGATTCAAGCCCATGGGAATCGCATTGCGAATATATTCGTAAGACTGCGAGGCTTGTATGATTCATATATTTGTTGGCTTTCTCCCGAGCCGCCACTCCATCGGTACGATCAAAGACGTCACTAACGGCCAGCCAACACGTTGAACTTCCTGACGACGACAGCTGGCACCTTAAGATCTGATGTCACACACGCGTGTGATCAGCAGCTAAATGTCTGAGCTGAACACTTGGAAGCACGCACACCACCGGTCAGAGTACGTGCTCTGGCACTCGTGACACTGGTAGCCCAACCAGCCTGCGCCAGACGGGAGCGCGGCCTCCGCTACCAAAAAGCAGATGCTCCCACAGACTTCTGACTTGCTATCCTATGTTTGATTGCACGCCAGCTCTGCCCTTTGGTTTCTCTTGGACCGACCACAGCCCGGGGTAACATTTCTGAGGTAAGAACGGCTTCACGGCGTCGACTGGTGGATTGGCCTGCCTTCGACGACATTCGGAGCGTGGGTTGCCGGTGTGGCGACCAACCCACATGGTTCGTCTGGATTGGCTCGCTCCCGCGGCGGCCTTCTCACCGCTTGCTGGCCAACAGTGGACGGCCAAGGAGTTCAACCTGGAATCATGCCGGTGTCTGAAAGCTGCGTGGTGGTGCAGGGAGGGGCTGGTCAGTGCTGTCTGTAACGCGGACACAATTCTGGCTACCCGCAGTGACAAAATGCCTTGCGCAAACCGTTTTTTTGCACTCTAGTGTGCAAGCTGGTCGATCGAAGATGCTATGGGGCAGATAATTTTCACATTTTTCTTCCATAGTTCGGTTCGCGAGGTGTTGACTGCGTTCAATGTTACTATCCACGATGCCAGGGACATTGGTTACACCTTCAGACAATGCGCACAGTTCGGCGAAAAGATTCAAACCTATTTCACGGTTGATATATCTGAATAGTTCGCCACAGTAGGGAAAGGATGTACACCTGGTCTTTCCTGGACATTTGAGTACAGGGCACGCTTCAGTACGTTTGAGTACAACTGCCTTTTATAGGTATGAGTCTGAATCATACATCCGAAGGGTAAATGGATCATTCACTTGGACGCATTGGTCGTCAATTTCAAGTAAAACACGCAGGCCAAACTCAGCTGCCTTACAAGGGTCAGGCAACTGGCTCACATCTTACAACAAGAAGCTCAAAACAGGCTGCTTACACCTGGTCACGGTGAGCGCCAGACACAGGTTGGCGACGGCTGTGGCGGCGATGAGCGCCAGCGCCACGCCCAGCCGGCGGCGCGTCTTGGCGTACTGCTGCTCCGTCTCTGTAGCCAGCTGCTGCTGCTTCTCCAGCCGCTGGCTGACGGCCTCCAACCGGGTGCCGAGCCGCGCACCAGCGCCATCAGCGGGTCGTTGAGCGCGGGCGCGGCCGCGCAGCGCAGGCAGTGCTCCAGCTTGTCTCCGCTGGGCAGGCTCTGCGGCGGGGAGGGAAGAGCGGGCTGAGGCGGTGAAGTGGGGACTTTGTGTGTCCCGCCGACGAAAGCGTGAACTTGAATCACTTGCTTACCTACCTCAGCACATATAACGCATTTACCGTTTGATTCATCAGATATATCGGCAGTGACTACTTCAGGATTTGTAATTTGTGAGTAGATTGCATCAGTGTGAACTGGGTCAAAAAGATGGCTGCTGGCGCGTACCTCTGTCTCACTCTCTTAAGGCCCACTTTCCCTGAAAAGACCACTGCCTCACCTCACAGAGGTGGCCCCTGCCTCACCCCTCAGAGGTGAACCCCGTCTCACCCTCCAGAGGCGTCCCATGTCGCGGGCAGGCACGCGCTCGTGCGGCACGCCGGCCGCCAGGATGAGGAAGCGGTCCGTGACGACGTGCTGCGGTGTGACGCCGTCACACAGCTCCAGCTCCACCACCACGCGCCGCCCGGTGGGTACCACCCCGCTGCTGGGACGCACGCGGAACTTGTCCGGAGACGTGGTCTTCACCTGGGCGCAGGCGCGGGCGGCGAGTCAGCGCAGAGGAAGGGGCCAGCAGCGGGGGCTTATCGGCGGGTGGGACCAGCCTCAGGCGCTTTGGAAGGGAACGGTTGGACGTATGATGACAGCCGGTTGGGTACTCGGCAGCGTGTTGTTCCCCAGGCAGAGGCCATCGCCTGATGAGCCGCAGAGGAGGGGACTGTGGATGTCGGTCTGTTGGTAGCTGGGGGAATCCTGACGAGGGGCAGTACGGGTGGTCGTGTTCCGGTCAGTTCTCCGATGACGCCACAGGAGTAGAAAAACAGCGCTGAGTCTAAGGTGGGCTATGCATGGATGTACGACCCATTACGAAATCAGCATGTAACTTTTCAGCACCTTTAGCGCATTTACCGCTTGATTCATATGGATCAGATTTATAGGTGCTGACAATTTTAGGATTTGTTATTTGTGAGAAGATTGCATCAATGTGAGCTAGGCCAAAAGATTGCCACTGATGCGCATTGTTTTATTATCGCGTACTGTTTGACAAGCACAACTGATATCAAGCTCGCGATCGCGGCGATGGTTGCCAACAGAATCTAGAGACAAGAGGGTTTCAGATAGGCTTTTTGTATCGTGTGACGTCATCGCTTACCTTAAAGGCGACTCCAGCTCTTCGGATGTTGCTCAGCGTTATCGTCTGCTTGGTCTTGGATGATCCAAACCACAGCTGTTCGCCTGGCGTTACTTCCAGCAGTTTCCCTGGAACACGCCATACCATGGCAATGGTGCAGTGCCTAACTCTGGTCGGTTAGCAGGAAAATGGAAATAGTTAGGTGCTTCTAAAAACGGCCTGTAAATTTCAAAAAGACATAATTTGTGCTGTCTAGTGACAGCACGAACTACGCCTTTTGTGAAATTTACAGGCGCATGCTAGCAGTCATGCGCGTGTTTGTTCGGCTTCATCGAGAAACATTCATGTACCTTCTTCACGTTTCACATTGCTCGAACGGGCGGCTTTCGGGCGACCTTCGTGAACGTTGGCGGGCGGGGAATGATCATAACGGTTTGTGCGTGCGAGGCTTATCACCCCCGGCCAACTACTGATGCCCGTTACACCTTCGCGGGCCAAACAGATGCGACATTGAAGAGGGCCCCCAGCCCAACTAACAGGGACTTCCACAGCAAGCTTTTATTCCCGCACTGACAGCATCGAGGGTGAACAGCCATTCATTCGTGTGGGAGCAGCGGAGTTATGGGCTTGCCTCATTGAAAACACCGTGACACAATTTCGACGGCGAGTTGCGATCCACACCTTACCTAGCTCGGCCGTTGAGTTATCTTCCTGCAGTTTTGAGTCGGACAGCTCGTCACTGTTTGTGCTGACGTCGTCAGGGAAGCGCACCTGCCAACGACGTGCGACAAAATCAAAATCGTTTGGTTTCTGCCGTGGACCAATGTTTATTTACCAGGCCTTATATCCGTTTTGGAAGCTCCGTGCTGCGTCTGTCAAGATGCTCATCACTTAACATGGCTAACAAACATGGCGGCTGGCATGGCTGGCTGACATTGTCACACGACTGACGCAAATCGCTGCAAGTCGGATTAATTACATACGTCTCTGCTAGTAACAAAACCATTGGTCTTAAACGCGATGGCCTAAAGCATTTGCAGCACTTAAGATTTTCACGTTTTAGATAATTATATAAATGCAACTGGAAGGGAGAGAGGGAAAGTCTGAGGAGAGGGGATATATATATAATATATATATATATATACGGTTTATATCTTAGATATATAGTATACCTGCCCCATATCAGAACCACAAATTCGTGTAGCTTTAACCTCCACGTCTGGAAAACACCCTAGCCGTTAGCCATGTCCATTGTTTCACCAAGAAACTTAAAACCGTAGCGTTTTTGTGCTGGGATCGGCAAGAGGTTGCAGATTAGGGGGGGGGGAGGGTATTTGCATTACGATACCCACAACTGGGAAGTTAGGAAGGGAGTGTGTCGCAAAGCCCCTACAGTTCCACAGCACTGAATTCATGCAGTATGCAAGGCTAAGATAGCAGAGACGTTGCTTAAGACCGCGCGAAATGCAACAGCACCTAGCTCAGCCAACAGCATAACAGATTTGGCTAGCTCTACATCGCACCCAGGCACCTTTACTTATTGTTACAATGACTCAACCACGCACCTGTTCCATCCAGCCCACAGCTTGCGAAACATCCCTCCGAAACAAGCTACCTGACCTTGACCTTGGTCCTACTGCCTGACCTTGTGCCCCGACTCTGGAGAGCTCGGCGGATCTTTCACGCTGAGGTACTTGGCGGCGCTATCGTGACCTTGAGACGACTTCTGACTGCTGCGCACGTGCCCGTTAGCCATCTTCCCGCCGGCGTGACCGTTGGCGACCCCGTTGACCTTGGGCTTGTCCTCGGCGCCGGTCGCCTGAGCCCCGAGGAAGGGGAGCGGCGGCATGGCGCACTCCTCGGGGTCGAAGGAGTACGCCCAGCTGTCCTCGCCGCCCCAGCGCGTTAGCAAGCACTCGGCCGGCACCAGCGTGTTCGCGTCCTTCTTCGAGACGAATTTGATCAGCTGGTGGGACTTCGCAGGCAGCATGTTTTTGACGATTTTCCAGGCGGCTGTCGACGGAGCACGCGTGAGGGGGGCGTGGAGAGCTCGACGCCATTCTCGGTGTCACCCGTGACAGTCTCAGTCACGAAATATGATGTCCAAACACCCCACCTCAGGAGAGCAAAGATATTCTGCGGAGCATCTTGACATATTCGAGGACTCAAATTCAGACGGAAGCGTCCGGATTGAAGAAAAAACATGCAAAATAGATAGATATGGATAAAGCAGAGAGGGGCATGCACGCGGGCCGAGAGGGACATGCACGCGGGCCGGGAGGGACGTGCACGCGGGCAAAGAGGGACATGCACGCGGGCAGGGAGGGACATGCACGCGGGTAGTGCACGCGGGTAGAGAGTGACATGCACACGGGCAGTGGCTCACGCAACATGGCAGTCATTCTAGGTAAAACGTGCAATTAGGTCATCATTCTTAAAACAAAGACTTCACCCATTGCATTTGCCTCTAATAAGGATGGAAGCATTATGACCGTGACCGTACATCGTACACTGTTCATCGTTCATCGTACACTGGCGCTTGTCACTGACACACATTGCATCACACAGACCTTGGCGTTAACCAGCGACATTTTGTAGCTCTCTTCGGGTATGATTTCTAGCCTCTTGGCCAACGATTTTCTTCAGTTAGCTTATCAATAGCCAACAATTTGAGGCCCTCGATGTACAGATCACCGGCGAGATTTCTTTCTCGTCGTCCCACAAAACACGCGTCACGCTACAGGGCCGCAGCACATCTGGACGTCGGATCTCATACGCGTCGCGGTACAGGGCCCCAGCACATCTGAACGTTGGATCTCACACGCATCACGATACAGGGTCCCAGCACATCTGAACGTCGGACCTCACGCACATCACGTTGCAGGGCCCCAGCACATCTGAATGCCGGACCCCACGCGCATCACGATACAGGGCCCCTGCACATCTGAACGTCAGAACTCACGCGCATCAAGCTATAGGGCCCAAGCACATCTGGACGCCGGACTTCACACGCATCACGCTACAGGACCCCAGCACATCTGAACGCGGGACTTCACACGCATCGCGCTACAGGGCCCCAGCACATCTGAACACCGGAACTCACCAGTCATGATGAAGGGAAGCTCGAACACCATGATGTTGTTCAGCATGTCCGGGTAGTAGAACTTAAATAGGTTGACCAGGTACGAAATGAACGGAATGTCGACGTTCGACAAGCCGGCATTCCCCATGTCGAAGAACAGGCTGATCCGCTTCCCCTTCTCCTCCCTGCGAAGCGACCCAGCGCAGTGAAAAGAAACTCTGCTGCCGTTCGTGATCATCTGTCCCATTCAATTTCGAGTGAAAGATATATCATTGCCTATACTCCGTGTCGCATTGCTAATCAGGGACCGATGCCACATGAAACCTGGGGAGCTGTTTATTATAGTGACCCAGTTAAAGCGAAAACACCAAATCGTATTCAGGGGCAAAGTTTCGGAAAAAGCGAGGGAGCCGAACCGTCATAAATTAAGAGCCTTACCCCCAAAACTCGTCAAAAACGGGCTTCGTTCCGAACTTGACCTACTTTTTTTTAAAGCTTGGGGAGAGCTGGAGGGATGCAGTTTCACAGGAGTCGGTGTTGGGCCGTTTGCTCTTACTGATTTTTGTGAATGATACTGAGGTTGGATTAAAAAGTGAGGTGTTTAAATTGGCTGACAACGTTAAACTGGTAGCGTTGTCAAAAAATGCAAACCAGATAAAACTGAACTTAGAGGAAACTTGTGAAATGGGCTTCCCTGCGGCAGATGTTATTTAGTTACGACAAGTGTAAGATGATGCATGTAGGTAATTCTGGCGGTGAGTGCATTAGCTAGCATGTGAGGCCGAGAGACGGACCAGATCAAGGACGAAAAGGACTTATGAGAATACAATTTCCAGGGATTTAAAGGCTTAAAAGCAATGTGGGGCATCTAGGAGCAAGGCACTTCGGATACTGGGACTTATTACCAGGAATGCCTATTAAAAAAGTAGGAATGCTGCCAAAAAGTTGTACTTAGCTTATGTCAGATCGCACATAGAGAATTGTGAACAGGCCTGGTCCCCAAGCTTTCAAAAATATATAGACAGGCTACAGAGAGTACAGCAAAAAGTAACTAGGATGATAAATGGGATTGGCAGCTCGGAATGTAATCAAAGGCTTAAGATCTTCGATTTGTATTCGATAAAACATTGTAGACTTAGAGGGGATCTGATAGAGGTATTCAAAATTCTGAAAAGGATAGACAAGGTAGATCCACAAGGAGCGCTGGAAATTAGGCCGAGACTTAGAGGAAACCAGTTTCAGTTAGCAAAAGGTAGGAGTAGAAATATGAAGAGGCAGATGCCATTTCGTCAAATAACAGTAAACCATTGGAATGGACTGCCTAACGAAGTTGTAGGAAATCACTGCCTAGCAGCATTTAAAAACCGCTTGGACGAGCTCTATTGGTCTAAGGATCTCATTTATAGCAACATTCAGGCAGGTCAGGTGGTAACATTAGTGTCAAGGCTTGGTGCAGATCTTGTGGTAGGCCGACTTCGATGGGCCCTTGTGGCTCTTTGTTGGCCTGATGTCTTTATGTCTATATGTCTATCAGTTTAGGCGTTCCGTCGGACCAAATTTTGGACAGCCCTTCGCCAAGAGGGCAGCATGTAATGCTCTGTTTGCCTACGGAGGCCTCCCCGCAAAGGTCAGGGCCCCGCGGCCAGTATCAGTTCCGGTATCCCGCGTCCTTATCGCCTCGCCTGGGAAGCCAGCTGGGAGGGCCGGCGTCACGGGTGGCGAGCTTAGCCTCGGTTTGACACCCCCGCACCAAGGGCGGGCCGACGTCAGGATGCGTTTTAACCCGCAGGTATAGGCCAAATGGCGAATACCCTCTGCAAAAGGCGCGGGGCACATTCGAACCGCGTCACCTAAAAGAAGCGCCCTGAATATCTGCGGTAGTCATCTGAGACGATCGGAGCCGACACGAGGACTCGCATCTAAAGGACGCTTGGCACACATTTGTTGCGCGCATTAGTGAGGTGAAGCTTCAAGTGCTGGCTGATAAGGCTCGTCTAGTCAGAGTCGATTGCACTTCGCGCGAGGCTGCATCATCAGCTCTACCCACAGAGCTCGGATGGCGGCGACGAGGTTTAAACGCGCCTCGGGAATCCCGTCAAGTTGAATACGGAGTTAACTTGATCCCGAATCCGGGCAGGGTCAAGTGCAGGGCGGCCTTGTGCCAACTTCGGGCAGACGGAAACGATCCCAAAACCAACTACTTCCATGTCGAGCAAGGCGGTACCTTCGGCAAATTTAGGTGAGTCACAGTCGAGACTGATTTATCCGCTTTAGCAGCTGCCATAACCTCTATCACACGCAGTAACTCAATCACCTATGAAGCACGTGCCAAGTTAAGGGCTTTTACAATGCAACTCACGGCTGCAGCGTGAGGCCGATCTGCGGGCGGGGTAAGGTCAAGTGGGGAACACTTCTAAGAAGGCGGGGCGGGGGGGGGGGGGGGGGTAACGCACCGAGCCTGGGGTGAGAATGCTCGGCGCCGAATCCGTTACTTAACGAAGCGTTTCACTGGACCGTTTAAGATAACTGACGCAAGGAGTTGCGACGATGATGACCGTAGCATGCAGATGTAAGCGTTGCTCATAAACCTACACCCTTGTTTGCCACCGTCGAAACACAATCCGAAGTCATTCTGCAATTTGTTTGTGCACACGGCCGCATGTCTTATCGTGATCTTTATGAGCAGGATGTATTGCGTTGAAATATGGCTGGTAAAATTTGTTCTTCAAAAACGTCACGAATACATTGCAGGGAGGCGTTGCGTATTTGAACCTACATACCGATGTGTATCGTGTGCTAGACCTCCGGGACGTACATTAAATGACACATCATGAAACACCCAGTGACATATACAGTTTTTGATTGGTTTACGAGCGTAAACAGGAGAAGTCCACGCTGGTCGCCTTTCTTTGAACAGTAGTGTGATTGCTTCTGTATCTAACGACACCAGACGAAATGGCCCCAAACCGCTGCAAAATTGCTCACAAAATAGACTACGCATGGGTTGTCGTAAAAAAGTGGGGCATAATTTTTTGAGACCTGAGCGGATTTCCTTAAGCTTTAATGAATACAAGCTCAGTCATTGAGCTTTTTCCGAAATAAAATGAGCCTCACTTTAAAGCATATGGTGTGTAAAGTGACGTGTGTAGGTAAGTTGGACTTTGGAAAATGTCCCTGGTCATAGTTCAGCCATGCACAAATTTTGCTATCAAAATAGCTTATGGTGTCGCTGTCAAGGCTGCTTGGGAGCGTGGGTGAATTCTTTAGTTTAGCCGTGAGACCATGCTTTCTAGATGATTCACATGGTGCACTGGACGCCACCAGCATGTAACTGAAATGAATCCCCACCACATATGTCTGGTACATTCGTGACAACTCTGCGCGACGCACCATGCACCCCGTGTTCAATGTTCCTTTGTAGTGTACTCAAAAACGGCTATGGCGTCAACAGAACGAATATTGGGTGTTTTCAAGGCTAGCAAACCAGAGCAGCCATGCACCGTCCTTACATGATCACGGAATAGCAGATTGCCCCGCACTGCAGGCGGATTTGGGTCGCCTCCGTGAATGGTCCAAAAACTGGGGATTGAAACCGAGCCCAGCTGAGTGCAAAACCATCTCATTCACCCTCCTTACATCACCTGTTCGCCATTCATATGCACTAGACGGTCACCGCTTGGATAGCTACCAGCAGATTTGCGATCTTGGCGTTCTCCTGGATATCCAACACACCTTTACCGACCACCTAGATGGATGTCTCAAAAGCACACAGCATTCTGGGCCTTCTCATGCAGGGCGTGAAAATGCCGCAGTGTCCTTGTCAAGAGAGGCTTAATCATAAAGCTTTAATGTGTGCTTTCAACGCTTATGTAAGATAATTAATGGGGTACGGTGGCGGTATTTGGAACGGTGTTGCCGTTTCTCATCACAGCATCTATCACGGCGCGCTTTGCTCAGTCTGACGCATCGTTTCTTTAAAACGTATATCATCAGAGGTTTGACTGCAGTTACCAGATATGAGTACCAGTTACCAGACCTGTTCGGTCTGGCTACACCCACCCGGTGCTCCCGGCAAACCAATCTTTTTCACTAACCATTTGCAGGGTAAAGGCCGTTAAGAATTGGTTTGCCACACATCTACCACTTATTAGCAACTGTTTTCTTCAGCATTCTCCCCAAACCGTCCTTTTTCCAGCAGACAAAACCATTCCAGTCTTATTTGCTTAGGTTTGCCCGTTCTCGTCGTGCGCTCCTTTAACGACCGTTGTGTCTGAGTGCGTAAGGCGTATGTGTGTCTGTGTGTAATGTGTATGCGTGTGTGGTAAGTTTTTTAGTTTGTATGTGCATCGTATTTTTATTGTTTTTAAAACCGGACTGCTTCCGGAATTAGACTTTTGACTGTGAACTGTTACGCCCTAAATAAACCAAATAAACCATACACAATCAACAATAAGCAATAAACAAGCAACGATATTCCCCAAAGCTGAATCTCATGTGTCCCGTTTGGGTTGCAGGGAGTGAATGAATACGTGCTCATTTAAGATACACTCGCGGCTTCTCCCATTTGAGGAATTCAAATAACAAAACAACAGACGTACTGAAACGCTAAAAAGCCACGGAAATAGCAAATTTTAACTTGAAAACTGTGTTCTTGACGCCATAACTCCTTTTCAAACACTTAAAGGTGGCGCCGTACACGAGGGGCGTGGTAATTCGACGAGGGCTATCGTAGATATTTTGGAAACACCTGTTGGGAATTCATGTCATTTCAAAGATTGTGCGAGACAATCTAACGGCCGAAAACTAATTTCATGATAAAATTTTTGGCATACACATGACCAAACCGTTACGGGGTGTATTACCCAAAACCCACCGCAAAAAAACAAGCGATTTCACGCACTCCACACTTCTAAAAAGAGTTCTGCTTCCCAAAAGTGCTCAACATTTTAAATAAAGAAATTTCCTTTTACTGGCGAAGTACGTCGAACCAGGCGAACATCCTCTGGACGACGCAAACATTGCCTACGTGTTCTGGTTATACAGGTATTAAATACGTTAGTGAGTTAGCGGAACTGTATAAGAAAGAAAAAAAGCCTGAGCTTTAAAAAACCAAGGCATTGAACGAAAATGATATGAGTTTAAAGTCTGGAGTTAAGAAACCATAACAATGAACGAAAGAAGTCTGAAAAAAATGATAACACTGAACGAGAATAGCCTGGGGCCAAAACAACGGAAAGTACCCCATTGCTGCCTATTCATTCCCAGAAGAAAAACGCTATCAACAAAAAACATTGTCAGCTTTTTCACCACAACATACTATACCTGTTTCTCATATAACATGGCAACATGAGACATGTTTTTTATCATACTTTATTGCCTCCTTGAACAGACAGCTTCGCCCCTGCGGACATTTGTGTCTAGACTTACCTTCAGCAAGAAGACTGCAAACTTTTTGGGCATTGTAATGACCACATATTAGACTAAACAAAGTGAAAAGCCCGTTGTTCTTTCAAATAAGCAATTCCAGCCGGTGTAGATGTAGATGCAGCCCTTGCAAGCACTCCAAATGCAACTACCTAATGCTTACGATCCTCACCTATCCACCTTCTCAATCCAGAACACCAGGAACTTCTTCACATCCTCAAACCTCGCTCCTGACACCCTCTCGTGGAACCGGGCGTTAAAGATGGCGATCCGACATCCCTTCTTGTCCTGTCCATGGGTGCACATGACACCCTTGCTGAAGAGCGTGTTGTCCACCGTGGCGAGAGAAATGTCTGCCGGCGAAGAGGACGGGTAAGAGGACAGCAGCAAGCCGTCGACAGCTAGGACCTGAAGACCGCGTATGCAATAAAGGCAGATCATGTAAGACAGCAAAGGGAATGCCGCACGGCATCGTGCCGTGTATGCAGTCAGGAATACGGCCGTCGCGCGCCGAAAGGGAACTGCATGTCAGCCATTATATGTCTTAACAATCACAGTGAATGTCAAACATACTGCGACGTACTCTCCATCAGAAAAGGCCAAGTTCTACGGTTCTTTTAGGTACGTATGACGTTGCCTTTAGCTATGCGCACGTATGACGGTATCTTTAACTATGTGCGATGATCACTTCATCTGCCATATGAGTGATTTGACTCATGAATACAAGTTGTGCTCCTTTTAAACATGCATTTGTGCATTGGAAATGGTAACTCAGCACAACCCACGGATAAAGCAAAGCTCACGGTGGCTCTCCCGTATTCATCGGCAACGTAGCGCCCGCAGAAAATACTCCTACTTGTCAAAGCTTTACGCAATACACGACATCTACATGCACTGAAGCTGCATATCTCTGAACGCAACGCATACGTAGGAAAACACATTCGCACACCAGAACCAGATCAGAGCTCAAGACTCAAGGCTACAAAATTACGAACGATGCCGCAAGCCGAGTGGTTGCTAGTGTCAGCTATTTATAGACTTTATTTCGTCAGTGGCCCTGTCTGGTTCGGTTCAGCCGGTCATGCTTTTCGACGGACTTTCTATGCACAGCCACTTCATGCACCGACATGCTAATTGGTGTACGCCACAGCACCGCGTGATGAAAAAAAATGATGAGCACAGAAAATCTCACACAAACCCGATGCTTTAATGAAAAACATACTGTGTTTCACCACCGGAAGTTTTCCAGAATAATTTCCGCACGGAAAAGCGTGGTCACACCAAATTTTGTATAACTGTGAGGAATTAAACAGCGGATCTCTTGGTGCTAGAAAATAGCTGTGTCCTGTAATGTCACTGGGTTGCGGAAATCCAACAACAGGATATAGCTACCGGCGAAGGCCATTCATGGGGAGTCGCTCGATCTCGTGCGACAACGTTATGGTAGACAGTGCAATGCATCTTTGAGATAGTTTCTTAGACAACGATACCATTGAATTTAGGATTACGACTAATTCCATTGACTCTGGGTCAGGTACGAATACTAGAATGAAGTCAAAGGCAACTGAGTTCTCGACCAAAAACTTGCTACATTTGGCAGTTTTTTATGCTTATTTCTATATTTTTATTCCAGGGGTGTCAACAGCCGTCTAATATAAAATTTATTAGTATTGGAGAAGGCCACTGACCTAAAATGACGCAAACAGCATTCTGTTTAAAAAATGTACCGCTCAACCTGATTCTTCTTGCTCATGTCGATTAAAAATAAAAAAATATAGTAAGGTTCTGGTCACCATAACATTCCATAGGTCAAACTAGGTTACTGGCCTGAGCTGAATGCCAGTGACCGTTCCCTAAGAAACGGCATTTAAGGCGAAGGCGGTGACATGCGGAGGCTTAAGGCAGTTGGAGCACCGATCTGAATTAACCCTGTCGGATATCAGCTGACCCGAAGGTCATGGCTTGAATGTGACACAAGGGACTTCTCACACAGGCCTACCTTCTCTGTGGATTTGGTGTCTCTAGCTCTATTAGTTTTGATACTTTAGGGTGTCAAATCCCCCCCTCCCCACCCCCATCCCCACCCTGACACGTTCGACCGGCCCCGTGCCGTGTCAATACGCCTTGTTTACATGGCTTCCCACAGACGACGGGCTCCATTCGCCTACGTTTTGCTATCTCCACACGGTGATAATAATCCCGTTTGTCATCACCTCGCTGGCGCCACGCCGCAAAAGGCGCCTTACTTCACTGCGTCCATTTCTCGGACATTCAATTCATGGGCTTGGGGCACGCAACCGCTCGATGGAGTGGCAAGCTCGTCCTTGGCGCGCGGGGTCTTCTTGATGTGGTCCCAAAGCCACACCCAACCATGCGATGTGCTGTGAACTATTCGTCCAACCCGCAGTGGTTGTTCCAGGTCATTGCGCACATTGACACGTTCGCATTCCTCCGGATGACGGCCGTAGCGGCTACCTCGGTGCCAGCTGGCGTGGACTCTGCCGCGTATGCCATACTTCATTGTTTAGTACGGCACGTTCAACTTCGAGACGCAGATGCCAGAACCCAGCCTTCCTATCATCCACGGATGATCCCAGGCTTGGTCTGGCGGCGAGTGCAGACCGGACCGTCCCCAAGGCGGCACATTCACTCTGTTCCAGGTCAGGTCCTCGCCCGGGCAGGTTGTGCAGCAAACGCGGCCTTGTAATGGTTCGCTGCTAATCCGGGCAGCGCTCCGAGCAGGCTCGGGCGATCCGCGCGCCCCGCAGCGCCGACTGTAGCGCGGAGCGTGGGTGGGATTTATCGGAATGCAATGCCGAGTCGAGCCGAGCTGACGGTTGCAACAGCAAAACGGTAGCACCTCAAACAAGCTCTCAAGACGGCACCATTTGCACGGGTTCCGTAAGACGCTAAGTCACATGTGTCTAAAATTTTTGTGGCGTTTTTATTTTTGTAGATCACCTTCATTCCAGTGCTACACGGGCAAATACTAAGCGCGGTAAAGCTGATCGAAAATGCCAAGAACGCAGAGGAGAAACGAAAGCATCCAACGTTGCGATGGTTGGATCGTTCCACACGCTTCGCCCAATGGCCAATTTGAACATGAAACGGATATATCAACCATACTTCATTGTAGATTGGTAAAAAGGAAGCTATTGTCGTATTACCTTCTATCGGCTTGCAGCTAGGATTATGACGTCTTCAAATAGTCCATGAGCAGCGTTACTTTCATAAAACTCGAGCAGCTGGCAGGAGCTCCTGAGATACACCAAACTGCAACCGCAACCACGGCAGAAAGCGTATCACTCACCATTGGCACACATCTCCTTTCGAAACTTGACAGCGTCGATCATGAAGTTGAGAGCCTTGTCCATGTCGAGGTCGCCGTGCGACAGAAACCGCTTGCACCAGAGCGGGTCAGTTTTCGCCCGGCGAGCGTCTCTCGGGTCAACCTTGTCTGGAAGCACAGGTCACGCGGGGTCACATCAGGTGAAGACGGCGCTGTGGGTGCGGGATCACATCAGGTCAAGACGGCGCTGTGGGTGCGGGGTCACATCAGGTCAAGACGGCGCTGAGGGTGCGGGGTCACATCAGGTGAAGACGGCGCTGTGGGTGCGGGTTCACATCAGGTACCTTGCCAGACAGCGCTGTGGGTGCGGGGTCACATCAGGTGAAGACAGCGCTGTGGGTGCGGGGTCACATCAGGTGAAGAACGCGGGCGCCCCTGTGGGTGCGGGATCACATCAGGTGAAGATGGCGCCGTGGGTGCGGGGTCACATCAGGTCAAGACGGCGCTGTGGGCGCGGGGTCACATCAGGTGAAGACAGCGCTGTGGGTGCGGGGTCACATCAGATGAAGACGGCGCTGTGGGTGTGGGGTCACATCAGGTGAAGACGGCGCTGTGGGTGCGAGGTCACATCAGGTGAAGACGGCGCTGTGGGTGCGGTGACACAGCAGCGGCGGCCGAATAAATGCGAAATCAGTGCGGGATGGAATCATCACGATTGGCGGACCGATCGGAGAGCCGAGAAACAGTGGCATTTAACTACTGTGCTCTTAGGCCCAGGAAGTCGTATGAAGCCAAGACTGCCATGGAGTTCCGCAAAGATGTTCAGCAATAATGCTCTTTCCAAAGAGGGTAACGTCCTCAGTAGCATTCCCCTCTTTATTAACCACTTTGAAAGACGCATCTTGCTCTCCTCGCGTACAGAATGAGGCTGGCCGAGAGTGATCCCATTGGTCTTGAGATATCTTGGCTGAACTTATGCATGTTACTTCGCACTTGAATCGAGCAGTTTTTAAGGTACGTAAAGGCCGACGCACTCCTGAAGTGAGCGCGACATTTTGTTTGACTAATTCCATCGATCATTATGGATCTAATCGCATTACGAGGACGCAAGAAGCATTTCACAATGAGTAGGCAGAGGTCATTCAAAGCCGCGCTTTATCCCACTTGGGGAATCGGCTTACATGATCAAGGAAGGAGGCATTACGCACGTCCACATAACACAGGACAGTCCTATGCCCCAGCCTGACCCCGCGCCGTCGGGCACCCTGACGCCGAAGATCACTGACTGGGCCAGTATGCATGCTCGCATCGCGCAGTGTGGCTTTTGGCCCGGCGTCTAGCCAGTACCACGCCGAGCAGTGGAGCGACCCCCGGAGTGGTACGCAGTGAACGACCGACGCATGTCTACTGCCTGATGATAACCGGCTGTCCTCGCGAAGCTACCGATCGCCCTGGAGATAGCTTCTGACCCGTGACTGACCGCTTGGACACTGATGCAGGTGTCCCCCCCCCCCCGTCCGCCGTGTCGGTGGAAGGAGATGCGATCAGCTGATGCGAAGTACCTCGCCCTGCTTTCGGTTGCGGAAACGCGGTGCGGGTGGCGCCACACGATTGTTGCTAATAAAAATGCATTAATGATATGATAATTATAAATACAGCGGCCCGCACGGCCGCTCGCGGTATTATCCAGGACCCGCCGCAAGAAGAGGTGGCGGGTCCTGAAGAAGGTGGATTAACATTGGTGACAAATACAGCAGAATGCAAGGAGCGTTTACGTGCGTGGTATGGCGCAGTGCGTTCAGGCACATGGGTGTACTCACTAAGAGATCATAATGACGCCATAACAACGCAGTTCAAATCCAGGCACTTCACTGGCTATGCAGCGATCAAGGGCAAGTCAAATATAACTGTCAAGTCGTTCATATCTGGTTTTCGTGAGCGCGATTTCCAGATACAATGGCCCTCAGTTGGCTGTCAATCAATATTGCGTTTGGTACGGTGACATAATCAAACACCGACTTATTGACGAGCATGTTTACTAATAAGAGAAATTGTGTCGTCCTAGCAGTCCTTTCCGCTCAAATTATACCACTAGTTATAACTGAGCTTGTGTCACCATATGTGATGCTTGATTCGATATCACATCACATGAAATGTGGAACATTTCCTTAAAGGTGACATTGGAGCAAATTAGGTACACGGATATTCATTCCATATCAAGAGTTTAACATAAAACATTGCATTCAGGTAAAAGGGCCTGCTCTAAAGCCCAGTGAATCATATGAGCAGGACAATTGTACCCTCAGATTCCAGGTTTATCTCCGCAATCCTGATCCCCCTCAATTTCAGGTGCGTAACTGCACCTGTGTTTGGGCACATCATGGTGATCTATAATACTACGAAAGGCCCTCTGCGGCTATTTCCAGAAGCACGCACCTTCAGGGAGGTATGCGGTGAAGCGCGTGCCCTCCATAAAGTTATAAAAGTACCGAATGGAAAGAAACCATATTCTGATGGGATACGTTTACAACGAAGCCAGATAGCATACAAACACGTTCTTTTCCGTTTCATTCGGTAGCGGGTGCTTTGGAGCTTTAGTTGATGTGTCTCATGTTTACTTGATATTGCTTGACATCAGAGCCCTGCTCAGCACGGAGCAAAGGCAAAATGTGTCCAGTTGTTTTGACCAACGAGATGCATCGTTGCAACGCAACAGCACATCAGCGGTCTCACTAGTGGCGCGGCTGGGTCAGTGTCTCACCCCTGTCAACCGGTGCGATGCGGCTGGATCAGTGTCTCGCCACTGTCAGCCGGTGTGACACGGCTGGGTCAGCGTCTTACCCCTGTCAGCTAGTGCGGCGCGGCTGGGTCAGTGTCTCACCCCTGTCAACCGGTGCGATGCGGCTGGATCAGTGTCTCGCCACTGTCAGCCGGTGTGACACGGCTGGGTCAGCGTCTTACCCCTGTCAGCTAGTGCGGCGCGGCTGGGTCAGTGTCTCACCCCTGTCAGCCGGTGTGACACGGCTGGATCAGTGTCTCGCCACTGTCAGCCGGTGTGACACGGCTGGGTCAGTGCTTCACCCCTGTCAGCCGGTGTGACACGGCTGGGTCAGTGTCTCACCCCTGTCCGCCGGTGTGACACGACTGGGTCAGCGCCTCACCCCTGTCAGCCGGTGTGACACGGCTGGGTCAGTGTCTCACCCCTGTCAGCCGGTGTGACACGGCTGGGTCAGTGTCTCACCCCTGTCAGCCGGTGCGGCGCGGCTGGGTCAGTGCCTCACCCCTGTCGGCCGGCCGGCCAGCGTGGCGCGGTTAGGTCACTTTCTCACCCCTGTCAGCCGGTGTGGCGCGGCTGGATGTCCCACCCGCCGACCTCGCGTGACCCGCGACTCGCCGCTGGGGGCGATGCTCGTGATAGGCTACACTCGGCACGGTTGCAGGTGAGGTAACACCGCCCGGGGCTCCGTGACGCACCCAGCGCTGGCAGGGTTTTCCAGTGGTATTCAGAATGCGGACGACCTTTCTAGTTAGTACGGAAGTGAGATCGGTACAGGAGCGCAATGTTTGTGCTCGTGCTCGCCCGGGTGCGGAGGGAGCATTAATGTGACCGTCCTCTTCTGTCTTTTTTTAAAATAAGTTCCGAGCGTTACGACGAGGCGACGTCAAACTTTAGATGGGTGTAGAACACCGAATAGCCGATCTTGGGTGTAACATAAGATAAATATTGCAAAGTCACTGATCTGTGACGGGTCAAAGCTTCGGAAACCTTTCAAACAGCGAGGACAACGGAGCCTGAAAGGAAGTCATGCAACTTTGAAATGGTTTCTTACGCAATCAAACACTCGAAATTGGGATAAGAGCTAAGTCATTGATCGTTGGGTTGGGTATGAATCCTTGATGTGTGTGAAAACTTGATGCATTAAAGCCTTATAGCTTGAAGTGTTCATGCGGCCTTGATGGTCAGGAAAGATTTCCGACCTAAAATGACTTAGATGAACGCTTAGCCTGCATCAATTTTTAATGTGCAGAGGCCCGAGGCAGTGACGTTACACTCAATTACCACAATGCTCTAAAAAAAAAACTATCGTGTCACTTTGAATTTTTAAGTTGAGATGAGGCCACTGACCTTAAATGAGATTGTCCGACCTTTTTTCTTGGAAGGGATATCTAGATTCAAGTTGTTCGGGTGAGTAGGTCTGAGGCCACTACCAAGACTGCCTTGGAGTCCCACATTGTTTGACCTTAATTAACTCGACGACCACGACCCAGAGGCATACAAATTTTACATTACGTACCTTATAGAGCCCAACCTACTGCGTGAATTTGGTACCCCGGGCTCTCTTAGGTGAGGTATATCGGACGGGGAATCGACCCCTCCACCCAACTGCGTCGTATTCAACCGGCCACCCGAGCGCATGCCAACCCAACGCCGCCTGAGTTATTCCGCCACCCGTGACCGCAAACGACAGGATTAAAGGCCCCCTCGCGCTATTTAATCCTATGATTGGACAAATGCGAGCAGCATTTGGACAAACAGAGGTCGTTGGGGTCGGTCTCACCCAAGAGTCATTGAACAGACAGTTGTCACGTCATTGGTGGCCTCGCATATCACGCATAATACATTCAAAATCATGAAAACATGAGAACAATGCGGCTATCTGGTACTCGTAAAGAGGGGCGTACAACTTTATAGCGTACACGAAACGTTTTCGTGCCTTACAAGCATATCAATGTCAACAAAGGTCAAGGCCATAAAGCCTAATCAGGGATAACTTTCCCTTTTGGTTTTACGCGGCCAAACAAGTCACCGGTTCGGTCACTGTTGCAAGACGGCCTCACATGACCTCCAGCTGTGATCTAATGTGACCTGGTGTAGTGTGACTTGCTCCCGACATTGTGTGCAGAGAGTAGTGGCAGGCATATGGTAGTGACGACACAATTATCCTGACATTTTGTGGCAGACACTAGACAGTCCAACTAGTCGATGAAATATATCTAATGCTGCATGGCATGGCACAAATGGCGGCAAGCAAGCCTGCACGAATGACGTCATAGCTGAATGACCTGGATTCACATACAAAACGTGTGATCCAGTAAGCATCAAATTAATCACCTGAGATGAATTGATAATTTGGTTTACCTCACAAATTGCTCGCGAGGTATTGCAG